CTCTTGGGCTTGTCGTTGGGAGTGAGTTTGATGGAGTCGGTCAAATAGCTCTCAAAAATCCCCTTATGCTGGAAAAAACAGAGAAGAGGGAGGATGAGTGATGTTAGGGGACTGAAGGACTGGGGAGCCCAGGTTTGTGGTTAAAGACAAAATCCAGGGAAAAGCTGCCCGGATCAGCCAAGGAGCGGGGCCACCGTGCTCGCTTGGCGTGGGGACACGAAGGTTCCCATGGGATGGCCGCTAGAGGACAGTGCTGGCGCGCTGTGCGGTGCCACTTCATTCCTGTCACCATGGGCAATGGCGATTCTTACTCTATTCTAACTTGTTCTAGATCTGTTCTAAGTCAAACACTGATGTGCTTCTTTTCCTGGCTCTTTCCTACGCATTACAAATGGAAGCTGTTCTGCATGGGAGGGTGGGCTGGGAGGGTCAGATCAGCTCTGGGAGTGCCCGAGTCCTGCTCGCACCCCAGTCCCTGCTGCCGGCGCAGGCTGGGTGCACAGCGATGCTCACCGTGGCCAACGCCTGCTTCGCGAGGGTCTCAAAAGCCTCTGCCACATTGATGTTGTTCTTGGCGCTGACTTCGAAGTAAGGGATGTCTTTCTCCTTGCACCAGGCTGAGGCCGTCTCCCTGGGTACCTGCGGGAAGGAGGATGGAGCCGTCTGAAGAAGCCTGGTCCTGCAGTCCCGTAAGCCATTGGGGCACTAAAGCGTCCCAATCCCCCCACCCCACTCTTCCTCCTCCACCCTCACCTGCCGATCGCAGATGTCTATTTTGTTCCCCAGCACCACCATGGGGAAATCTTGCTCCCGTGGAATGACCTTCTCCAGGAAGTCGTCCCGCCAGTTGTCCAGGGCCTCAAAGGACTCCCGGTCCGTCACGTCGAAGGCCAACATGCAGCCGTCCGAGCCCTTGTAAAAGGTCGACACCATGGACCGGAACCGCTCCTGTCCCCCCGTGTCCCAGATCTAAGGCAGAGAAGGGCATAAATACAAACACAGAATGCAACCGACATGGGTGTTAAGCTCAGGCGACCAGCGTCAGGGAGTGCAGACCCCCCAAAAATGTGGAATTTCAGTACAGCTCATGGATACTCAGAGCTGCTGAAAATCAGGCCCTGCAAATCCAGCCCCCACCTCACGATGCCAGGAGACATTTGAGGACAGCAGGACACGGGGGGACACGCGTGCCCATGGGATCAGGGTGGGCAGCCTGGGTAGTCCCAGCACCACTCACCTGCAGTTTCAGGGGCGTGCTGTCCACCGCGAGGACCTTGGTCAGGATGCTGGCCCCCAGCGTGGTGCGGTAATCTTCGTAAAACGTCTTGTGCACGTACTGGTGCAGGAGGGAGGTTTTGCCCACGCTGGCGGGAGGGGAGGGATGCGGGTGAGGCTTTGTGTGACAAAGGGATTGCTCACAGCAAGGACGGGGGCTGCCGCACCCACAGACTCCCAGGCCACACGTGGGGCTTCCCTCCCATCACCAGTACCATGTACTCCTTACCCCAGCGCTCCAATGATGATTATCTTCAGATCCACCTTCTTGCTGGTATCCATGGACGGGCCCTGCGGGAAGAGAGGGTGTCACTCAGCTGCAGGGATGGGACTGGCTCCCTGCGAGCCCCGCGGGACTGGGGGAGGTGTGGGGGGCGCTGGTCCCCTGCCCCCACCCTGGCTGTCCCGGGGCCCTGGATGTCACCGTGTCAGCACCCTGCTCATGTCCGGTGCTGGTGGGGGCAGAAACCCCCCGTCCCGAGCCCGGCCCACGTCAGCACCTGGGAGCAGCTCCCGAGGTGCCGGTGCACGTCCGGACACGCTGCCGCGCCATACCAGTTCATCACCATTAAAAGCTGCTGTGAAAAACTTCCCTACCTCTCCCTTTAAAGTGCAACCCCCCTGCTAAACGTGACACACACTGTTTTTGTCCTGGGGAAAATTGCGTTTTTTAAAAGAAGACCACGGCCAGCCGGACTTTCCTGAGTGCCCCAAGCACAGCCCAGGGACACCACCCACCGCGAAAGGCTCCCCCATAGGATGCGTCCCCAACACGTCCCGGTGTCCCCACATGCTCCATACCCAGCCATCCCAGGGCAGGAGCCCCAGGCATCTCCAGCAAACCCCCTCCCCAGGCGGGGACCCGTGTCCTCCAGCAGCCCCGTCCGCAAGGCAGCGCCAGGCACG